CACCCCCTGCCCTGGGCAGGGCCACCTCCCCCCAGCCCAGGTTGCTCCAAGCCCCGTCCAACCTGGCCTTGAACACCTCCAGGGATGGGGCAGCCACAGCTTCTCGGGGCAACCTGCCCCAGGGGATCACCACCCGCACAGGAGAGAATTCCTTCCTCAGATCTCATCTCAATCTCCCCTCTTCCAGTTCGAAGCCGTTCCCCCTTGTCCTAGCCCTACCTGCCCTTGTAAAACTACTTATGATGGAGTTTCTTATGGTTTAATCCTGACTCGGGATGAAATCAGAAATACCGCTCCTGGGTCGGTCTGAGTCTCGGCTCCCTGCCTGGGAGACAGCCAGACCTGCCGCCTGCCCCTGCCCCGCTTCGGGGCGCCGCTTCGTCCCTGTCTGTAGACGCAAATGGTGACGGGGGTGAGGCAGGAGGAGAGGGGCTGGGGACACTGGCTCCCCATGGCTCGGCAGCCGGCGGCTGGCGGAGCGGGCACCGACCCTGCTTCCTCCCATCCTTACTTGATATCTTTGGAATTCGGATTTGTTCGCTGCTGCTGCCGTCGCCCCCATCGCTGAACGGCTTTATCTCTATGATGTAGTCCTCGTCGAAGGGCAGGGAGAGCTCCACGGAGGTTTTATTCGTTTCTATCACGGATGTGCTGCTCTGCCTGTTCCACCTGTACAAAACCTGCAGCGAAGGGGAGAGAGACAAGGAGGCAGAAACGGCAGAGATGTCCGTTGCCCTCAGGATGTCCAGATTTACTGCTGCTCTTGTCCTGCCTCTGATGCTCAGACACACGGTCTGGTCCCAGAGGCGCTATCTGGGTTTTGCTGGGGACCCACACCAGCACGGCGGTGACAGTGCCCGGGCGGGGAGGTGACACTGGGAGGAGGGTGATGCCAATGTGCAGCACCAAACACGGCACCTGTACCTGGTGAAGCCCCTCGGTGAAATCTTTAGCTTGATCAAGCTAAAATAAATCCCAAGGGTTATTTATAGAGGTCAGAAACTTCTTCAGGAAACTGAGTTGGGGTATTTGATGCAGCGCCACAAGCAGTTTCCCAGAATAAAATGGCTTTCTTCAATGACCTTCTAAGATCTGGGAATTCTACTAATTTAGATCATAAATTGTCACATAAAATATAAGATTTCCAGGAAAACAGAAGAAAAATGGGCAATGTTTTGCTGTGATTCAGGGAAGAAATCAGCCTGGCTGTGCTATCCTAACGGTACGTTAAAAGAGGGTTTTTTTAGAAGCTCACTGGATGGGAGTTTGCTTTTTCAGGGTGATGAGTCTCTCTCAGCCTCTTTCAATTGACTTCTTAATTTGCATTTCAAACCTAAAATATGTAGTGAAAAGTTGGTCCAAACTGCTGAGGTTCATCTGAGGTTTTGACTAAAAACCCAGAGGAATTACTTTTTTTTGATAATCCGATACAGAGCACCAAAGATACTTAAAAGTTAGTGCAGAAATTCCGGAGAGCTGGCACAGGCTCGCAAAGCTGCCGCCGCCGGCACTGCAGATTTTGAACGAAGTACAAAGCATGTCCAGGTTCTTCATCGTTTCAAGCTCTGGTGGAAAATGTTTGCACGACTCATCCCCCGAGGCAACGGCTGGCAATTGCACGCCGATGTCGTCTTTGGGCCAAATTAAACCCTTGTGTAAGGTGATAGACCTGAATTCTTCCCAAGGTTTCTCTCTAGTTAAATTATACCCTATTAAAACTGCTACTAATGAGGATTCTCTTTCTTCTCCTTTTGGCTTTGCTTTCTGAAGAAAATGGGAGCTATTAAAAAAGCATTTTATTTATCTGCAATTAAGGAGTCAACTCCAGCCTTTGGAAGGTTTCCACTACTGGCAGGAGAGCAGTCCTGCAGGTGGGAGCTTCAGAGGAGGTGGTGAGGAGCAGGGGAAGGTCCGTGGGCTGAGACCCGCACGGGTGCTGGCAGGGGCAAGGGCGAGCAGAACGTGCTCACTCTACATGGGTATGGCCTCTGTTTCTGGAGGAATGCTCCAGTTTTAACCTGGAAAACCATGCAAGTGTCATGAAAAACACCTCCTCTGGTCTTACTATAAACCCCAGCTTGACACTACAGTCACGGAAATGTTCCCTATAGCCCAGTACCAGACTCCAGCAAGAGCTGAAGCTTCAAGAGGACTCATGCTGGGCCAGGGGGTGGTGTGGGGGCGCTGCGGGACAGTGTTGTCCATCTGCCTGTGCTGACAAAACACTCACCTTGTAGCCTCTCACTTCCGACTCGTTGTCCAGCGCTTTCACTTGGTCCCAGTTCAGTATGATCTTGGAGTCGGATGAATTCCAGATAATGTTGCCGGGGGGCTGACTTGGTGCTACAGCAAAATATACACAGCGCTCTATTACTAAAGAGCCCCGTTCCCCAGTCGGATCCCTCCCAGTACCAACGTGGCTTCCACCACCAGAGCCGAGCGTGCCCAGAGCCCTATCGCTCTGGAAAGCTAATGAGCTGTTTTCACTGATCTGTGTCCTCAAGGTCACAGGAGGTGTGACACAACACAGTGCTCTAAATGAAAAAAGGATTCAGTCAGTTGCTCAACATGCCTCAGACCAGAAGAAAAAAGCCCTCTTGAACGATGAGATAAATATTTAATTTTCCTGCACAGCTGTGATTTCAGTTTTGCATGCTCTGCTTACTTAACACAGGGAAAAGCCTCCAAAAAAACCCACCACAAACCCAGCCCAGGCTGGTAAGTCTTCTCTGCACAAAAACCCGGCAAAGGAAAGTCTGACAGCTCCTTCAGACTCGAGAAAGCTTGAGAACGCGGGAGGGGATCGCTGGCAGGATCCCTCCTGGCCAAGAACCCCCCTGTCCTCCCAAACACTCACGTGGCTTTTTGGTTGTGACGTTGACGGTGGCACTGGAGGGGCCAGTGCCAGCCGTGTTGTACGCCCTGACTGCCAAGTGATACAGCGCGTTGCCTCTCAGGTTGGTGACTTTCGCCGACGTTTGATTGCCAACCGTTCGAATCCTTTTCGCGTTCTCTTCCTTTTCGTCGTGTCTCCAACACCGGACCTGAGAAGCAGAGCAGGTACGTGTTTACCTCCAGCGACAGACCGGCAGCGCCCGACCCTTTCCAGCGCTGACTGCCCAACGCAGAAGTGCCGCAGGGACAGATCCTGCGCCCTCTTACAACCCCTTCTCGTTCCTTGCTCGGAACCAGCCCGGCTGCAGCGCTCCCTCCCCGGGACCTCAGGCGCTGCGGGGCCGTGGAAGCACATTCCCACAGGTTCCCCCCAGCAAGCTCTGCTCTGCACGTTCAGCCACATCACGCACAGGAAGATGGATAATCCTTCCCCGTGCGAGAGAAATCCCCGTGTACTGGAGAGACGGGGAAGCAAACACGCCGCAGGAGCCCAGCCGCCCCCCGGCAGGCAGGAGCAGCCCCACAGTGACCGCCCATCATGCATCTCCTCAGCTCCTCCACGCTTAGCGCTGGAAGGATGCTGCGCTGCGTTCCCGTACCTCGTATCCCTGTATTCTTCCTTTGTGCTGGTTCTCCCGAGGGGGATCCCAAGAAACTTCGACGTCCGAAGCAGAAAGACTTCTGGCCAAAACAGTGGTGGGGGCCCTCGTTGGCTCTGGGTAGAGGAGTTACAAATACAATGAAGAGTTTTCAATTTTACGTTCAATCAGTCCCAAACCGATTTATTTTCCTCATTGCAGGAGAAAAGAGGCATGCCACCAAAACAAACTTCCACATCCTAAAACGACGGCCTGTCAGCCCGTGCCAGACAGCACCACTCCTCTGCCCAAGGAATAATAAGATGTCATCACAAAACTCAACCCAGGATACCATGTACTGTAATTAGGACAAGAGGGAACATTTTCTGATCAGTGGACATTAATTCATACCAAATCTCAGCGGAATTCTTTCCAGATTACATATTACTCTTCCATTAATATCAAAAGATTTCATTACGATTAATGTTATTTTAATGACTATCAAAAGAATTAATCACAGCTCGCCATTTATTATAAATCAGAGCGAGGATTAGGTATCAAAGGATATATCAAGGTGGTTACTAAACCCCTTCAGATCCAGTCAGCCCTCCCCACGTCCAGCGGTGGGGAGGAGGGAGAGGCGGTGGGGAAAGCTCCCGGCTCTACCTTCCTCTGCCGAGTAGACGACGGTCACGGGGCTGAAGGACCCTTCCCCCTTGTTGTTGTACACCCCCACTTTCACTTCGTAGGGGGAGAAGGGCGGCAAGGTCTCGTTGCGGAAGACGTATCTGGCGGCGTCCGGGGAGGCCACGACGGTCTGCATCCAGCTGACGGTGCCGAAGGGGCGGAAGGCCACCACGTACCCGAAGCCACCTCCGTTCTGCAGCTCCTCGGGCACGGTCTGCGGGCACACCGTGGGAGAAAGGGCACTTTCAGCAATGACACCTGTTTCTCTGTCTGCATGCTGGCTACTGCTCTCGGTCGGTCTAAAGCCACGGTCCTAAACGGAGCACTGGAGACGGGAGGTGGCCGTGGTCCTGCTTCACATCTAACCTGACTTCATCCCACCTGTGCTAGAGCCTTGCTGCTCCGCGAGCGCCCTGTACTCAGCGCGGAAAGCAGCATCTCCAGAATTCACTTCACCTAAGACTTAAATCATCTTCTCGGGCACCCACCTTCCTTCCCTGAGCAGACTGGGAGCCTCCGGTACCGATGTGAGTCACTGCAATGACTGAGGCTGAGGTTCGGTGGGGTGAACCCAGGACACAATTCCTGCTTTCCCAATACTCACACGGCTGCTCTCACAGCTTTGGTGTCGCATGTGAAGCCCTGAAGAAGATCTCCTGGCCCAGTGCCACACAGTGACCCAGTGCAGGTCAGCCAACTAGCCACATCCCACACGACGGGACCCATTAGGGACCGCGACGGCAGGGAGGGACTTGTCACAAACGTGATGGAGCAGAGCGGGTAAGTGTTAGGTAACAGCTGGAAAAAAGAACCTGTCACCTACAGGTCACTTCTGGACACACCGACACTTCCTAGTCTAAGGCCCTCAGCCCCCTAAAAGCTGCACCGAAACCCAAAGCTTCAATGTATTAACACAATCTGTAACTATGGGCCACTCTGCCACAGATGTCCACGGCGCTCAGGCACGCGCAGGGGTTACTTTTGGGGACTGCTTCTTCCTCTGTGTTGCCAGGCTCAAAAAAATGCACTGGACCATAAAGAAAAGGCCTCTGGACATATGAAAGAGTAAACTGCCTGTTCCATCAAAATACAAATTATATTTTGTGCAAATTATGACTCAAAGTCACGGCTGACGTTCTTGCCATGTGTGTTTTTGAAGCATATTGCAGTATCTTTAGGAGACACGGCGTAGCTAATTAGTCCAACAGAGGAGGAAATTTAGCACATTGAGCTGTGTGGTAAGGGCAAAAACCCATTTATAGTTTTTTAATAACCTTAAAAATATCTCTGGCGATTCATTCTGCCAGCTTGGTCAGAAATAGTGCTAAGTGGAAGTGTTAGCATATCGAGTGAAGTTCATTATTAGGAAAAATATGCCAGCTGCATCGCAACGTAACACGAAAATACGAGCAGACAAATGACTAAAGTTCTCCCCCCGACTCCTGTAAGGAATATTAAACATTTTTCATCTCTGTATCTCCTCTTGCTGGCTTTCATTAGCGGCAACAGGAGCCAGCATGCAACGCGTTAGTACTAACTCTCAATGACTTGCTGCCGTATAACCCAGCGCAGGGGTCAGAGCTGCACCTCCGGAGGCAGCCACAGCAAATCTCAGCCAGGTCAGGATGTCCCACGCCTGGCCTCCCAAACTCTCTCCTCTCCCTCAGCTGGTTCCTGCCCAGCCATGTTTTGCCGTACGCGTGCGGACATGCTGAGTCGGGAGAGCTCAGCTCGTGTCGACGCCGCGATGCGCAGCACACTCTCTCCCCGCGGTCCCCCCCCGAGTGCTTCTCTGCTGCCTTCCCTGTGCGGGGCCGGGCACGAGGAAGGGGTTTAGCTCCATTTTAATAGCTGGGCTATTTTTATCATGCTATCTGGGCTTTTTACTGCCAAATGTTTGAAATCTACAGTGGCTTCACTGGGGTCTGGGGTGAAAGGGCGCATTTAGATCAGGACCGTATTACTTTTCCTCTCACTTTGGACTCCACTCACCTCCCAAGTAATGACCAGCTCAGATTTGCTCCCTCCGCCACCACTGACGTTAGCTGGGGTCACTTCGGGAACTGCAAAAAAAAAAAAAATATTGAGAAGATGCACGTGGTGACTTTGAGATGAGAAAAGCGCATTGAGACGGAATAGACCTGCGCAGCAACAGGACTCTGCTGCCCTTCCCCTGCTGGGTACCAGAAACGCTATTAGGAAATGACTAATTTGCCATGGCAAATAGCACATTAAAAAGTATGTCAATAATAGTATATTAAAAGTACGTCAATTAACTTGTGTATTCAGCCACTAATTGCTTAGTTTAAACATTTATCTTCCATAAAAAAAAGGCTTTTATTTATTTTTGTATTTCATACTCTGTTCCATCACAGGCTAAAGCAGAACAGAGGAACCACCTACCAGGGCTTTCCCACAACCGAGGCGCATCTCCCCGCAGCCACCACGCTGCGCCTACGCCTTCCCACGACCCCTTTCTGCCAGATCAAAAGACGGGGACAGCATCAAGGAGCGTTAAAGCTTTCAAGGCTTGTTGCTTCTGCTGGAATCCCTCAACGCAGGCACTACTGAGCATCACCGGTAAGCTGTGCTGGCAGCAGCCTGAGGACACACTGTGGTTCCTGGAGGCAACGGTGCATCTGGGAGAGCGCTGCAGAAGACAGACCTTCAGGAAGCCCATGAAATGATCCACCCCATAGGGCAGCCCAGGGTGGTTTCTCCAAGGCTGACGGCCCACAGGGATGAGGTCCAAGTCACTGGGAGAACCACAGAAGCCCCCAGCATCGAGGGCCTGCCGACGCTCCAGCTGTGAAGCTCAAACTCCTGCTCTCGAGGTGCTGTGGCCTCTGCTCCAGAGTTTCACACCGATCACAGGAAACCAGAGGGACCGCTCTCGGAGTTCCTCTCCCTCAGCAAGGGATACTGGGCAGTATTTTCCAAAAAAAAACTTGCCCGAATTCATTATTTTGGAAAATCATTGCTTTCTGCAGGGAAAGGGCGTGAAGTCTTCCTATACACATCCAGGAGCCATGGAGGGAGCACGAGAGCCCATCAGGAGCTCCACAACTTCCCCTGCCTGTTCTGGGCACACAAAGAACGTGCCACAAGGGAGGCGAGCGATGGGCGCAGAAAGTGCTCCTCAGCTTCCTCCAGTGCCACACACCCATTAGCACTGACGAGCATTTATTCAACAAGATTGAACCCAGCTGCCCACCACTACTTACGAGCTTCTTCAGTTCTTCTCTTCTCTGAAGGTCTGCTGGGTTCTCCAATCCCAATCAGGTTGGCAGCCACTACTCGAAATTCATACTCGACCCACGGGTTCAGACCCACCACTGTCGCTGTGAACGTCCTGCCGTCGATGATCTCTGGAACTAGGAGACAGCTACAGGTCAGGAATGCAACGAAACCCACCAAAAGTATTAAAAGCTGCTGAGAAAAGGTCATAGATATCCCACACCCTTAGAAGTGAGGGATTAACGTAAATACAAAGTGAATAAGGATTGATAAACCTTTTCTCATTTTTCTAACATTTCGTTAACTGCAGAGAAGTAAAAGAAGTGGCATTAAAACATGATGCTTTTAGCACATAAACTCCTGCTATTAAAGAGTTTCTCCTAAATTGCCACTTTTTGAAAACAAAGTGTCAGGATAACAGGTTTAAAGAGATTTTATTTTTCTGTTTTTAAAACACAGTGTTCCCTCTATTTAATGGCGACTGGAACAAAATTAACCTCTGACGGAATGAGCAATTACATCATGGGATTTTTCCCTCTATCAGAAAAATAATTCTACTTAAAGATAGGCCAGATGACACGGTCTGTCCCTGAGGGATGTCTTTATAGACCACAATTACTGTTGTATATCTCCAGCGCGGCAACAAAAGATAGGAATTCATTCTGTTTTCCCTTAAACATTCATGAGAAAAATGGATGAGTAATAGCACTGACTGGACCCTAAATCTTCGGGTTGCCAAACTTGAAACTAGTTAATAAGACGAGTGCTCTGCAGCCGCTGAGATTACTTTTCACTTCAGGGCGCAGAGCTGCTCCGCTCAGCCCGTGGGTGGGTCCCGATGGAGGCGTCTTCCATCGGTGGAGCTCTTCAGGGACCAGGTGGTGGACCTACCTGTGCTCACCGCTTGCCATCCCACCGAGAAGGGGGTCCTTGCTTGTACGACGTACATTGTGATAGGGCTGTGGTTGTCTGCTCCTGGCCTCCAGGACAGCTGGGCGGTGGTGTCAGTGATTTCATCTATCGTCACAGCTTCTGGTGGACCTGGGGGACCTGTTGGAAGAATTACAGGAGAGGGGGTGCTTGGAGCTTTGCGGCGGCTCAAGGAAGGAGCGCTCTGGTCTTCTCCCCCTGCTCAGGACAGAGGTAACCGAGCCCCCGCAGAGGCGCTAAGCGCAGCCCCAGCTGTGGTTTAGCAGCTTTCGATGAGACTGGGAGGCGCTGGGGGGACAGACAAACCCACAGATCCCCAGCTTCACCCCCAGGTGCCTCCACGGGAGCAGCAGCGCCGTGGCATGCCTGGGCTACGTGACAGAGCACGGCACTCGCCGCAGTGCTGGGGTCAGCGCTGCCGTCCCACCTCTGCTGCTGCACCGCTGGCCTACGCACCGGAACGAGTTTGGGCTGCAGCTGGGATGCACCCAGCGACTGGTGAAGAACGAAGAACCTGCCTGTAATTAGCACTGTGCGGCATGTGGACCAGTATTGTCTGCTTCATTGCCGGGTTCCTTCGAACCAGTAAAGCACTGTAGGACATACCAGTCAGAGAGAGGACATCTCTCCTGTATCATGTGGCCATTACCGCCCGTAGCGGTACCTGAGGTGAAGTCTCTCTCCAAAAGCACCATCTCAAGCAAACTCTCTTGCAATTCACTCTCCGGACTAAAATTATTCTCATCTGACATTCAGAGGGCTAGACACATTTAAATATCTAAAATACCCTGAAACCTTCCAATATCCTGTCTTTAAAATGAAAGTTTTAGCAGGTCTAGACAGATTTAATTTCTCAGAAATTAAAACATTAAATTGTTTTGCTGGGGGGAGCAGCCACGCAACGCGGCCTCACGGAGCAGTCAGCTCCTTCGGTCCCCCACCGCGAGTCACACCAGAGAAATGAAATTTCCTTGGATCTGTCACAAATTGCTCCTACTGCTCAGCAGAGGCTGCAACAACCTGTCTTCACTTCAGGTCTTGGAATAACCGTGGTTATTCCCAACATTTCAGAATATACGTCTTTGCAGGTTGCAGGCTACAGTAAGGCAAGAAAGGGGAAAATTATCGGTTAATGATTTACCAAATATTTTTGGGCTGCCGACAGACACGTGCTTGTGTTCTGATGGCGTGAAAAAATCCCGTCCTGAACAAGTGGACTGATCTGTGCGTACTTCTTTACACTCTTGTTTGATATTCCCTGACACAAGGAATTGACTTTTACTCCAGTATCTAATCTCTTAGTATTTTGACATAACTCAATATTTAAAAAAACTTCTAAAAATTATTCTGAAGGCTGTATTTCTGCACCAGCTATTCACCTCCCCCTCCAGTCTCACAGCCCAGGGATACTTCCCAATTTTTATGCGGTCGGTGAGAGGGTACAGCACAACTCTCAGTGCAGCTGTGGGACCACTGCCCCGGACAGAGACATCCCCGTTGATGTTTTTAGGGAGCGATAAGATCAGTATTTTTGCCATCATCAAGGCTCATTTTCTTGTGAGAATGTCATGTTCCTCCTGTTTGTTTACAGAGCCAGCACTGAGGAAGTTACCTAACCGGGGCGCCCATCAGCAGGCTGTTTTGAAATGTTTGTGCAAAACCAAAAAAAAAATAAAAGTAATCTGAAATCGTGCTACAGGAAAAACCCGAGAGTAACGGGGAGCAGCTGCCCGGGGAGGAGAGCAGTGGCTTCGCTGCCTCTAGCGGCCCAGCGCTTCACGCAGCACGTGGATAAGAACTGCGGCACCCACACTCCTACGGGGGAAACGTGGTGAAAAGCATAACAATATTATGAGGACGACGAACGCCCGGCTACGGACACGGGCACACTTCTCAGTGCAAGTTCAGGGCCTAATCTCGCACACTTTACGCTGATGCAGCTTTGATAAAGAGGGAATTTCTGACTTCTTTTTCATGCTCTCCTCCTTTCACTGAGTCGCCTGAGAACGGACATTACCTGGAGAACATGGAAACTACGGTTTTCCTGGGGTCTACGCGAACTGAGGGTGACAGGCACAGAGCAGCACCAGAGTTTGCATTCCTAACACGCAGGAAAACATAGATCATATTTATTTTAAGGGTCCAGACTCAGGTTAACTAATTAAAGTCGCACTTACAGATCACCTGCGTATGGTAACGAATAGATCTTAAAATATCTGTGAAGTTACTAAATCGTATTTATTCTAGAAAAGGAACAGTACTGCTGGGCAGAAATGCTGCTCAGTTCCTCAAGTAAATGAGCTCAGTTGCTGCAAGTTTTGCATTCAGGACACGAACGTGTACTAGTGTGTTTGTCTGTCTTGTGTGTCTGTTGTAGGAGGATGTATATATAAAAGAATCTTTGTATGAGCTGTTTGAAAATGCACTGTGAAACCCAGCGTGTACTTAGAGCTTATTTCTTAGATTAATTACAAGATGTTGGGATCCCAGTGAATGTCTCTGAGCCCAGGAATTGTTGTACCAGCGGCAGAAAATAGGAAGGAAAAAAAAAAAAATTTTACAACAACAACAACAGTAACAAAATTCAAATACCTCTTACAATCAGGTCTGCAGCAGCCGATAGCTTGTCCACACTTGTTTGCACCATGCAGACGTATTTCCCAGCATGCTTCAGCTGGATGCTTCTGATCATCAAATCACCAGCTGAATCCTGCTGATAAAGTAGGGAAAAGTGGTTACAATTACTTTTTAATGAGCGCTAAACATCATTATCACATGAAGGACACTGTGACTAATGGATTTACTTTACACTGGCTGATGAAAACATTAGTAATGCAAGCCGTGCCCTATTAAAATTATGAGCCTGCCTTGAAGATAAGAGCGGGAGTGTTTCTAAAATGACGGCTCCTACAAGGGGCAGGGGAGCCCAGTTTGGGTCCATTAAGCAGTTTCCCCATTAAAACATCGTCACAAAGCTTATGTAGGGCAGGTTCGCTCCCATTCCTCCTTTCTCTCTCTGGATATCCGATTTACAGCCTCTCTGGTATTCAGATGCCCAAGTTGTGGCCACATCTACTTCGTAAGCGAAAAGCAGCCCAAATTATGAGACATCTGCAATAGTTTCACGGCTTTGTATTACGGCCAGCATTTTGATTGCCCGGCGTTTTTTGTGCTAAAGATCATGAGAGCAGCACTCTCCGAGGAAATCTTGCATCACCTAACAGCGGTAATTTGTTTTCCAAACGCCAAGTGCATGTCTGATTAACTGTTGAATAGAACTAATTAGGTTTCTGTATGTATAGGAAGCTGAAAACTCTCTCTAAATTCTTCTCCAGACACAAAGCATTCGTCACATTAAAAATCTCAGGGTAACCTTGCAATTGTGGCTTTCTGACTGAGGAATATTAATAAAGTTTGTAATTTTAGCTTTGCAGGCCAATCGGGCACCGGCACCGGGCAGAGCCGTCGCTGCCGATGTGTGCCCTAGGCATCAATCTTCAAGCGCATCTTCTCATGATTTTTTTTTAGGGATAACAGCAAGGCTTGTAAATTGTATTTCCTTTTCCTTTCAGCATTAAATTTCACCCCTGACAAATGTAAACACGGACTGCCAGTCTGCCTGAAGTGCAGCGGAGCCCGTGGCTCCGCAAAACTTCCCGTAGAGCAGCATGCAAAACACTTCCCAGTTTTCTGCCTCTGCTGAATATTTGTTACATTTCTTTCCTTCTTTTTCTTGCTACCTTCATCCAATAAAAATGGACAGAAATTCATCAGGAAGGACAAGAAAACATTTTTAAACTGCAACTAAGTTAGAAATTAAACTCTCCAAGTCCTGCCTAACATGCAACAGGCTAAATTAGATGATACCTGAACTGTAAAGGAAAACGTTATGGTTACAAAGGAAAGCAAACTTTTTACCCATCTTCCAGACACAGCCGATGAAATGGCTGCTGGTTTTTCAGCAAAAAATATTTGGGGTCAGAAGAATGGCATGAGAAGCTCGGGCAGCTCTGACAGATGTGCCACCTCCTCGTGTGGACCCCTTTTCCAACAGATGGTGCCCTGAGGTACCTCCTACAGCACTGACCTTCTCTGAATCCCAAAATTCATGCCACAACATCTTCAGGAAATCTAAAACTGCTAGAAAAGCTGAAACAAGCTGAAACCCTTTACACCTGAGGTAAAAGCAGAGAAAATCAAGCAGGGAAGGGCCGTCATGGGCAGCCTTACCTTGCTGCTGGCTCTCCGCTCCTAAACCTTCCTGGAGAGGCAGAAAATGGCAAATGACCCAAGCAGACTTTCTTCTCTCCTACAGGAGTAATTCCTACCTTCACTACCCTTTCTTCCCTGTACCTGCCACTGGATCATGGTCTTGAACAACAGTGGTGGCCAGGGCTGGATTTAATGGGCAGTCTGACCATCATTTCACGCCTGATTTCTCCTATCGGATTTCCATGAACATGACCTTTTAAACCTTCAAATAAACAATTCTCTGGACGTTGCAAAAGTTTGCATTGTCAGTAGGTACTGACTGGATTTCATAGAATCACAGAATGGTTTGGGTTGGAAGGGACCTTAGAGATCATCTCGTTCCACCCCCTGCCCTGGGCAGGGCCACCTCCCACCAGCCCAGGTTGCTCCAAGCCCCGTCCAACCATGTTTCCTGTAACCAACCAACCAACCAACCCACCCACCCCAAGACACCAACGTGACATTGCCAGGAAACACGCACAGGTAACACTGAAAGGGAACGTCATCTGTGATGGTCGGTGATGTTGATAATGCTATGCAGGTTATTTTGTGTAAAAGAAGAATATTTATTTGAAGCATGCGGTCACAAGATGAGGACAGAGATGGAGACAGATAAACACGCCAATAAACACTGCCTGAACAAATTTGAGGATATGCTGTGATTTCCTGCTATTTTCCATATAAATACAAAGTTCTACAGTTGTTATATTTTACATTTCTTTTACTGTTACAGCCAGAGAAAAGCTATTATGGACTTCTTCCTTGAATGAGAAAGCAGTTTTTTCCATGGGAAAACATATTATAGGTCTTCTGACAAACATCCCACTGCAATGTGAACACATCGTTCACGCGAGCAGATTTAAGTCATGTAATTAAGGACTTGTAACAATTCTACACCAACTATAACGAAGTACTATACTGGCAATGTTCATCATCTCAGTCTGTAAGACACAAGACAAGATCTTCTACTATTTATTAACTTAGTCAAGTCCATTCCTTCTGTTAGTAGCCCTTTTCTATGTTACCTACTTTTATTACTGTGAGGAGATTACTTTAGTATTAATACTTACCCCTCCAACTCTTTCAAAGTGATCCCCATCTTTTTCAAAGTCTATCAGGTGTCCATTAAACGACCAGGTGAACATGATATCTAGTGAGTGATCGTGAGATACCTGACAAGGCAAGACAATGCTTTCTCCAACAGTGACATCCATGCTGAAAGGTGACACCATAACCCGGGTTGGATCTACAAACAAAGGACAAAAAAGGGGAAAAAAAAGCATCAATCATGTTATCCTCAGAAATGGAGAGAGACGTAGAGTTGAGAAAGATCCTAAGCAGTCTACCACAACTGCAGCATTGCCACCAGAACTTGAAAAATTTGCAGTGATCCCTTAGAAAGGTCCTTAACGCAACAAGTGAACTATGACAGCTTTGATTTTATCCTCCAATTCCTTTCTCTTTCTGTTGGATTGAAACACCATTAATAAATCCTCCAGAATCCTCTTCTAGCCACACATCCCGACGAACAAGGAGAAAAGGCTGGAAAAGAGCGCAGCAGATCTGAAAGGCTCGGTGAACGTTTCTGAAAAAGCTTGGAGATCAGAGATTATTTTATTTGAATCTTCTTACTTCAAAAATTTGTTTCACAGTCATGCACTGCTCACCATGGTTATAAATAAACCCTATTTTGCTATTCCTAAATTAAATGCTGCTTTAAGAAAACACTCTCAATGTAAAATCTCCGAAACTGGAATGAAGAGAGGTATATTAAGAACATGAGTGATATCTGCTTGGACCTGGAAAGTGAAAGACTTGACAAACGTTATTGTTGTATGTCATGTTTATTGACAACTCGGTGCTTGTTAAGAATATTGGCCACGTTCTCTGCCTAAAGGATGGGTTTACGTTTTAAATCCAGGTAGTTTTCTTTGTGTGAGGAGGGCCCACGCACAGAACAACGATACGTGATGAGGGATACCAACCAAACCTCTCACACCGTGGAAACCAAAACTCTGCCCCAGTAAGCCAAGCCCTGCAGCACCGTCAGACAGAGGGGTTTGGGGGCAGGACGCAGCTCTGGGTGTAGTAACTCCTCTGCCTGACGTGCAGCTGGTTTGGGTCAGTGAGCAGCTCAGACTGACTCACCTTTTAGGACCTCTGCGGTCTTACACGAGATGTCACTGACCTGCTGAGCAAGAACTGAATGAGTATTTTGAGGAAGTGAAGCAGAAGAAAGGTGAGAAAGGGCATCGTCCTACACACGACATTTCCAAAGGAAAGCCCCCGAACCAGCGGGTGTCTGTGGTGCAGCGAGTTCTGTCTGTTAAATATCACCAGCGGCACGTACCAGCTCCACACTGGGCTTCAGGACTAAGCCCTTATTCACAGCTGAAGTTCACACTGGTTTAATTGTCTATTTTTCACTTTAGTCGTGCAGTACAAGCAAAATGGTGGCACAGAAAGATGAGCCATGACACATTATGCAGACTTCAGCTCCTCGAGTGTGCCCGTGAATTCCCTCTGCCTCTAAAGTTAACATTTGTCTTTCATTTCTGTGACAAAAATGCAGTAATTTTTTTCTACAGGGCCTCAGAGGAAATGAAAAGGAGAAAAAATATTGCTTAACAATGAGACCAAAAGTCTGAAAATCATATACAGATAGATATTTTTGCTTATTCCAAAAGTCTATTCTGCACGGCTGTCATGGTAAAATACTACGAGCATTATTCATTCTGTGGTATATGAAACCAAAATCTTAACTACTTCTTCCAGGGGCTATGGGCCGACTGCTTAATTCTCTGCTAAAATAATAAGGATACAGCAACACAGTACTGGGCAGAACTACTCACCGCAATTCTGGGGATGTGAAGCTGTTCCTGGGTTTTCAATGACCTTAGCAAAAGCGTAGAGGAGGTGGTGAAAACGATTTCATCGCTGACTATATAGCTTTCAGATCAAGTCTGCAGGGACCTGGCTGTACTGCTTCGGACATACTCAATTCATCTATATTTTGGTTTCAGTTCTAACAAAACAGAGCGACTCTTAGCAGAACCACAGTAGATATTATGAGCTTTAACTAATTAATACCAGTAAAGCATTTTAGATTTTTCAGGTATAAGTGGTATAAGCATTATAATTGCACGCTGCTAAGTGTTTAATTATTGCTTAGACTTATGACTTTGCTTTTGTATAAGTGATGTATGAGGATTTTACAGTCACTTGGGATTACGACTACTGGAACTCAAGAAGACCTGGAGCATCCCAGGCTCGGGCTGCTACAGAAACACCCGCGCCTGCAGTGGGGCTCAGGCACAGCGTCGCTTACTGGAATTCCTTTCTGCATCAGAAGGGCATCCTCGGCCCTGCTCAAAGCCTGTATGAAATATTGATGAAGGACTCGACTCTGAGATGAAATGGGTGCCTCCCACAAAGCCCTGAGCTCTCCTCCGTGAGTCCCGCAATGATCCCTGTAAGCTGTGGTCCTTAACAAGCGCCAGCACCGAGGGTTTGCTGTAGCTAACCCTCGCCTCCGTGGCATTTTCTGCAGGAGGCGAGGAGTCCGCACCACAAATCTGATTCTTCCTGCTGCAACGCATGCAGTTTATAAACATATAAAGAACAAACCACGGGTGTTTGCTGAAGCCCTGCTTTGCAGAGCAGCTTAGCACAGCTCCTGTGGGCATGGTAGGAACTGCAAGTGCCCGGTGCCTCCGAAAATCCAGCTCTCAATCCATCCACGCCAAGAAGCGTTGCAATCTAATAGCTGAATGCACGGGGTGATAGGAACGGCCGAGCCAGCTCGGTGACAAACGATGCGCGGGGAGGGCTCTGACCCAAGCCGTGCTCAGCGCAAGCACGAGCCCCCGCGCCGCACGTTACAAATCACCCCAAGGAGAATGCTTACCCATCGCTTCTCAAGGACTGGGAAAGCTGGAAGACAAAAACATCCCCCCTCCGCCCCCCTTCCACCTTTAATAACCCCAGCAGAGCAGCAAATGGAAAATGTTATTCAGGAGGTAATTGAGGGCAGCCGAGTGTAGGCACACCTTGGCGATACGCAGCCAAGTGGTAATCAGAATTATTAGATTTGCATTTTCAAAACCTGTAACATCAGGCACTTTTTAAATTATGGCGAGTGCTTTAATGATACCAAAATCGCATTGGTTAGCTTCCAAGTCAAAAATTAAAAAAAACAGTGATTGTTTTTTTTCTGAGCTAGCTACTCATTTATTCATTGTCCACTTGTAAGGGAAGAGAGACCATCCAGGCAGAGAGGTACTATGGGAGAGCTGATCTTAATGCTCTGTTACTGACCTGTCCCCCCCAAAGTGCAGGTTATTTTCCTGAGATGTCTTTGCTTCGTAAGGGCACTATTCCCAAGGACAGCTAATTAAAAAAAAAAAAAAAAAAAAAGTTATTTTGGTGATATTTTGAGATGATATTCACCCTTGGAGCACCCTGGTGCATTTTGAGATAGTTTTAACAATAAAGTTGAAAGATTCAGTTGCAGATAAGGGGTACGAATTCCTGCGAGTAGCATCACCCCTCAGAGCTGGCTGCAGGTTTCCGAGCGCTCCCCAGAGGGAAGCAGTGCTCGGCACTTCCCAGCTCTCCTGCAGAGAGTCTATTGACAAAAAGCAAGCAAAATTGTTCCAGGTCGCTTCTGCGAAAGTTCTTCTGGTGTTACTGCGAAGTTTTTTAGAGGAGAAATAAGTGAATAGTGCATGTCAGTGGGAATGCTCTCAAGGGATGAAACGCCTTCTGTCATTAGGAGGGAAAATTATCTGGTTTTCAGTCTCAAATAGAATCATAGAATCATAGAATAGTTTAGGTTGGAAGGTTCCACCCCCCTCCCACCAGCCCAGGTTGCTCCAAGCCCCGTCCAACCTGGCCTTGAACACCTCCAGGGATGGGGCAGCCACAGCTTCTTGGGGCAACCTGCACCAGGGGATCACCACCCTCACAGGAGAGAATTCCTTCCTAAGACCTCATCTAAGTCTCCTCACTTTCAGTTGTAAAGCCATTCCCCCTCACCCCACGGCTCCCCTCCCTGATCTGGAGTCCCTCCCCAGCTCTCCTGGAGCCCCTTTAGGCACTGGAAGGGGCTCTGAGGTCTCCCATTTTTCTCCTTCTCTTCTCCAGGCTGAACCCCCCCAACTCTCCCAGCCTGTCCTCCCAGCAGAGGGGCTCCAGCCCTCCCAGCATCTCTGGGGCCCTCCTCGAAACAAGGGAAAAACATAACTACACCGTACATGCAAACATATTCAGCAGGTGTCCTGTAGGTATTGCAAAGGCAGTGACAGGAGACATGAGTGAGGGTACACTGGCTGATGCTGGGATCGACCCTCTGCAGACTGGTAGGTGACTGTCTGTAGGTGTCACTGAAGGCTCAGAGAAGCAGGAAAGCTCTCACAGCCTTCCTTCCATGCCGGCACTGACAGGAACACTCTCTGTGTGACAGAAATGGCCCTTTTTTGTTCTACATGTAGTTTTCCTTGCATGTCAGCCAGGCCGGCAGCTCACGCAGCGGCTCAGCTTGCAGCTCCGCGTGGGAGCCGAGAAGGTTTGAGCAGCACAGAAGGTCCCGGGGATGGTCCATAGCTGGAGCAGACCCACACTGCCGCATGGGACAGCCCTGGACATCACTGCCATGGGCCCCAGCCCCACCAGCGGGGTGCGCTGAGGCTACCTGAGCTTTTCTCACCTGTTTTTGTCCTGCGTGACATCCTGTAGTTTTATTGCTGCACTGTATTGCAGAGAATTGGGTGTATTTCTGACTGATAACGTATTTGGTTTATATTACAAGAGACTTTTCACAAAGTTTTCTTGCAAGCTTTTAGCTTGTTAGAAGGAACCGGAGCTGAGCAGCACTTCCCCTCTGTCGGAAGGCTGTAACTGCTTCGCTGTGGTCCCTCGTCCCCCGCTAAAGGGAACCCGTCATTAGCTGTTGGTGCCGCCTGCCATTTGCATCTCATTTCGGGAAACTGAAGCATTTCTGAGCTGCAAACCAGCAGGCTGCAGACATCATGAGGTCCGTCTGAGGGTAACAATTACCCAATCTGAAAAGAAACCTTCCCACCCTGATTTTCTATTGATTGGGTGTCCATTAGGCGGGATTACTTGTTTAGGATAAACAGCTTCGCATCGCCGCGTTTGCTTGTTGTAGCTCACGCAGCGCTGTGTTGTGTCATATTGATCTGGAGGACATGACACAGTGGGACACAATCCCACTGGCACGACATA